GTTCGGGAGCCACTTGTAGAGTCATTATGTTAATTTCGAAGCAGAAAAGATGAAAAAATGATGCAACCGCCTTCGCCGGGAATCGAACCACGGACCTCTGGAATACCGGCCCAGCGTGCTACTGTTAACACCACGAAGGCACGCTAGGGAAGTGGGAGAAATACCTTATAACTTTACCGCTCGGCCAATGGTGGGCCTGGGTAATTTTAAGTTGGGTGATTGTTAATTTTATGTTCGAATAGAAGGATCTTATGCACCCTTCTTCTGACTTTGTTTTGTTTTACAAGGCTCGAAGATAGTTCTTCAATCGTCATTTTAAAGTCTATATTGTATGCTCCCTAAGGGAATTAGACTTTATAAGCCTCAGATGAAAATGCATGTAAAATTAGACAATAGTACGTGTTGTTAAAAGGTTAACGAACTTGAATTTCTGAACCTCGTTCACAATGAGTTCAAAATAAGAATCAATCGTTAAAAAACGTTACATAAAATTATCCAATAATATTAAGAATTTAAAAAGGAAAATGAGTTTAATTTTGTATAATATTAATCTCACTTGATATTTATTGCAATTTAAATTCATATATAATCGAATTTTAATTATTATTTTAAGAAATTGCATAAATATATCACACTGGCAATATCATAAAAAATTAAAAAGAAAACTGCGTTAAATTTTATACTACATTAATCGCATTATATATTTAATACAATTTAAATTGGAATATATTTCAGTTACCATTATTATAAATTTGAACTCAAACGTGCGATTAGTATAACTGTAAACATTATTATTCGTCTACATGGAAGAAAGACATGTTAATGTGATTCCCTCATGATTGTCTCTCTCCCCCCCCGGTCCCAGATTTTGAGGGAATTAGATCGATATTAAGACAATTTTATTGTCAGATTAAAACCCCAAAACCCCATATGCGCAATTTATTACTGAAACGTTAAAGGTAACATTTCTCTGAAAATGTACCGAGAATGAAATCAAGGTTCTCGTGTTCAAGAAACATCAAACAGTCTTACAGAAAAGTACCTAAGCACTTGAGGATATAGATATATGTGTCAGCAATTTTTTATGCTGATTACTTTACTTTTTAAACGCGGTTTCTTACGAGCGAGACCGATGTCGCAGATGGTAATTAACGCCATCTGGTGTGTCCGTCCCCTCCGTTCTCATCCCTCCTTTTCCCAACCTTTCACATACCTCCTTCGTATAAAACCTTCTCTTAATTGATTGGTCATCATCGACCCGTACCAGCACACCGCTACCGCCACCAGCCCGGTGTTAACGACGCAGAAAGGTTGGGGAATATTATAAAAAAAGGGGTCTTTTTAAGGATGTGGTGTGATTTGATAGCGCCACCTAGCGGTGATATGAGAGGATGTCGTAGGTTTTTATGATCCCATCCTCCCTCTGGATACAGCAGGATTTGATTCTTGAGAAATAAACAACTTTCGTATTAGACAGTAAATGTTTTTTAAAAAAAGTATATTTTTTTTTCTGAACTTGGGAGGAAAAGTAAATAATTGATTAAAAAAAAGGGCATAAAATTGCGAAAGAAAGTGTTGTAGAGTAGTATTAAATTCATGCAGCTAAAGTAGCATCTTGAAATTACGAGTGAAGTTTATTTATTATCTTTATCTTTCGATATTTAAACGGGAGAATAAGTTTTTTTAAAATTACATAATAAAATTCTGTGGATTTTTTTTTAATGTTTCGTATATGGCGTAGCGTAAAGGGCACAAATTCGAGAAACATATTCAAACCTAGTTTAGGTGTTAATGAAACGAAAATTTCCAATAAGTCTGGTTGCCTTTAACCCTTTATGGCACGTTAACTTTTAAAGTTGGAGTTTCGATGGAGGAAAAAAAAAAAAAAAAAAAAAAAAAAGAGGTAGACAGTCTAAGGCCTAGAGGAGTACACACAAGTAAAATTTTGTGAAGATAGCACTTATCGTTTAATTCTGTGGGTACTGTGCCCAAAGTGGGCACACTGATTGAACAGAGCTTCGAAAAGAGTACTGAAATGAGCATTGTTGTCAACTTACTATGAGATGGGGACCTATGAGAGAACTGACCTATGAGATAGGAAGGAACAAAGAATACAGACTCTCAGTTGTCCTAGATTATCGGTGAGCCCGGTCTGAGCACACTTAGGGTTCGCCGTTTGATTTTAGGCAAGATTTTAGGCAAGTAAAAATTTAAAACTAATATAGAATAAAGAGATTAGCATACAGCCAAAAAATAACATAGAAATTTATTTTCAAACAATTCCTTTTATACCCTAAAAAAATCTGGAAGATTTCTTTGAAAAATGAGAGTCTTAACACTAGAAGCGCCGTTGGGGTCATTTTGACCTTTTTTTCCAATTTTACGCGTTTTTTTTTAACATACAGCTGAGCTTCGAAGCTGATATTTTTTTACTTTTTCTAAAATGTTTCCAAGTATACTATGTCAATTTTTCATATTTCTACGTTAATTATTTAAACAAATAATCGCAGATATACCTAAAACAGCCAACTGGGGTCATTTTGACCCTCATAAGAAAAACGACACTAGGAGCACTAGACCATTCAAAACTTTGTGCAGATGATTTGTGGAACAAGAATTGAGGACCACCTGTGTTCAAAGAAACAATGTCACGCAATCAGTTCCGTGAAATAATGCGGTATCTCAGATTCGATGTCCGAAGCACCAGAGTTGATCGTCTCGCCACTAACAAATTTGCTCTCGCTTCTGTAACCTGGTACAAGCTAATGGAAAACTATTATTTGTGCTATAATCCTGGACCAGAAATAACCGTTGATGAACAATTGTTGCCTTGTAAATCAAGATGTAGATTTATTCCAGTACATGGCGAATAAACCGGACAAGTTTGGCATCAAATTCGGGCTAGCAACTGATGTAAAATCCAAATATGTTTTGAATGGTTATCCTTATCTGGGCAAGGATGAAGAACGACCAACTAATTTACAACTTGGGGAAAGTGTAGTTCTCAAATTACTGCAACCACATCTAAACTCCGGACTCAATGTCACAACTGACATTTTTTTTTACTTCTGTGAAACATGTAAATGAACTTTCTGCGAAAAAAAACACAATTGTGGGGACGATGCGTCTAAATAAGCGAGAATTACCTCCTATTGCTCGTGACACTTTACTTCTTCGGCACGATATTCATCTTTTGCACTGAAAAATGGAAGACAAAACACTCACAATATATAGGTGCAAGAGCAGAAAAGAATGTCGTGATTCTGAGCACGATGCACAGTAATGTGTTTGTTGACGACAGCATAAAGAAAAACCGAACACTGTCACTTACTACAACAGTACACAAAATGTGGCATTGATGTCGCAGATCAGATGCTGAGGAAATATAGTACAAGTAGTGGAAGTCGCAGGTGGCCTGTACATGTTTTTTACAACGTCCTTGACGTTGCTGAACTCAATGCTTGGATTATATTCAAAGAATCCTTGGGCACCTCTATTTCCCGTCGAGAATTTATTCTTGCACTCATGGAAGAACTACGAGTTGGTGCACTACGCAACAGATGCCCCCCAATTGCTCAAATACAGACACTTAAAGGAAAGAAATGTGCATTTTAAAAAGTTGCAAGGGACAAAACAAGACTGTTGTCAGCTGTGAGGGATGCCAGAAACCAATTTGTGGTAAATGTGTTGCTGTCACTGTCAAGCGTTCATATTGTATCACCTGCGGTAATGTATAACAAACTTTGGAAAAACATTGTGTTTATTCCCAATTTATGTTTTTTGTAATTTTTGCATATGTTCTATTTTTTCCTCTTTTTGCATTTGTATCTTTTGTTTGTTTTTCAAAGATTTTGTTTTTGTTTTGTAATCTTACATTGAAAGATATGTGCTAATTTGCGCTAATTGCACGAAAAAAAAATTCGAAAGTATATAAAATATAAAAAAAAAAAAAAAAAAAATAAATAAATAAAATAAAATAAAAAAAAAAAAAATCTGAAATGTTTTCAGATTTTAAATTACGTCCAAAGGGGCGTCTTTTAACATTTTGTGTGTTACCTTTCTTTATTAAATATCATGTTCCTCGCACTTAAACCATAAGATCCAGTGCAACAGCAATATCGCAAAAATAGTTTTAAACGAGCGTATCTTTAGAATTTCGATACAGAGACTCACGCGCTGGAGATAAAAATGTTTTTTTCTGCACAACGTTGCCATTGCTCGCTTTGAAATCCTTGAGTTTGTTAATCAAAAATTCGTCAAAGTTTTAAAAAATAGGAAATCGATCATAAACAAATTTCAAATTTCAAATTTGGTCTTCCACATGCTCATATTCGTTGGAGGATTACGTTATTCAAAATTCGATGACTCTATGTACCGTTGTTTTATCACAATACGAGAAATATACATACATTTATGCAGATTTTTCATTATTTAATTTCTTCAAATATAATGCAGGACTCTAACATTTTGTGGCAACAGTTTGAAAAGTGAACCGACATTTATGAGTCCGACGCAAAATGCCAAAACGAAACTAATAGTCCTTCGGGATTCAAATCCCTTTGGACTAATAAATAAAAAACCTCTAAAAACTTTTCTGTGGTCATTTCAGCATCATTTCAATCATTTACTGTGTTTCTACTTACATTTCTTATGAGGGTCAAATTGACCCCCAATGGCGGTTTTTGGTTAGTCTGAAATTCGGCTGTTCTAGTGTTAAAAACTAAACATGGCTAAAATATATGGACTTGTTTGTGTTGAGCTTCCATCTACTCATCGAATCAGGAGCTTATTGCGGGTTTCAAGAAATTGTACACTCGCGCGCTGTTTCGTCGGTGTTTTGAAGCATGCCGATGCTCCTCAACAATGACTTTTAAAATGTTTCGGGAAAAAAAAAAGTTGACATTCTTTTGACGTAGCGACAGTTGATTTCTGCTTGGGGAAAGCTGTGTCCATCCTTCGTTCAAGGAGACGGAGGTGATCAGGGAGACACCCCTGAAATTATGGACGAAATTTTGAGAACTGCTAGAGATCTGGAATTTGAGGTGAACGAGGATGACATAGAAGATCTCATAATGGAACATGACGATGAACTGACGACAGAAGAATTCCAAGAAATCTTGAATGAAGAACACCAAGAAACACAGCGAAATGTCCGAATATGTGTTCCTTCTGAACAGGAGGAAGACGAAAGAGGACCAATGTCGACATCTGCCATTAAAGATCTTTTGAAGAAGTGGGAGGATGTCAGAGCAATGCTCTTAGAATGGTACGCAAACCAAGTTGATGTCAATAACATCGGCGATGTTTACAACGGCAATGCTTCAAGTATTAATCACTTCCGGAAAATCCTGAAAAAGAGAGAAAAGCAATTGACATCGAGCATGTTCTTTAACGTCCATAAACAAAAAAGGAAAAGGGCTGATTAATATGCAAGACTATATGTATGTATTATTTTTTAGTGAACTTACTAAGAAATTATACATCCTTTTTTTTTTTAAATTTAATTTTTAGGGTCTCCAGAACGAATAAATCGATTTCACAAAAAAATATATGGTAAAATTCGATGATCGGTTAACGAACAGTTCGGATAACGAAGTAGAGCACTTGTAGCAGATTATATTCGCTAATCAATCACCCACTGTATAGTGAAATACAGGAAATAGGGCCTTCTCATTCCCTTAATGCGATTTTGCGCACGTATTAAAGAAAGAATTAATTAATCACGTTAAGTATGACTCAGTTCTATACTATTTTGTACTTCCTTGTACGAAGCAAAGGAAGTACTGTAATCACAAAGAATTTCGGGTATCATATTTTAACAAAAATATCTATTTTGACAGCTTTTCATCCATTTAAGCGAGATTTTTGTGTGAGATCTGTGCATTCGGATAAAACAAAGGATTCTTTTAACCCCCAAAAGGATTGTAAAATGTTAAAATAGAGTTAGAAGAGTTAGAAGAGAATTTTTTGTGACGTCTGTACGTAGGTATGTATCTCGCATAACTCAAAAAGGATTAAGTAGCCTTAGAATTTTGCACATGGGACTGCTATAGCATGTAGTTATGCAACTCCTTTTTGGTTCCAATCAGTCGCACCATACACACACACACATATATATATATATTAATATATTCAGGCTCTGCAGCAATGACCAGGAGCAGGAATTTTGATGGCGTAGAAGTGTTGATTCATAATGACTAGGAAATTCGAGGCGAAGGCAGATTAAATCTTCAGTTTTATTTTCAGCAACATGTTGCGGCTACACACAAGTCGGCACATTAAATGTGCCTGTTCCAAAGGGCTTACATTTTTGATAACTTTATAGCAAGAAAGCAGCAGCAGACAGACAGCAGTCTAGCCAGGCCAAAGCGTGGAAAGTAAATGCGTAATGTTCAGGATGAAATCTTAGGACAAACTGAGTTAGGTTTGGTTCTCAAAGCATTTTGATTGGATACTTAATATTGCTGTAAAATTATTATTGGCTGCTTGAGTTTTAGTTCAATTTACATCACCAGAATTAGGTAAGAGTCATATGACATAGATTTTTCCCGAAATGACGAAGTGCAAATAGATGTTGCTATTTTTAGAATAATGAAGGGAAATTAATTTACGCTGCTAATTTAATCTTTTACATATTCTTTATTTTTCTTACATATATATATGCATATACCCATTCTGCTACCCGACTCAATTTTTTTATTCTTATATGTTGGCAAATTGTGCATTTTTTTGCTTTAAAAGTGATTGAATAACGGTGTTCTTATGTTCTGGTTAAGGTTTTTATGCCTTTAGTTAATCTGCATGCAACAATTGTAGAATTATAAACAATTGAAAAGTTGTTTATGTACTAATAAGCCCAAGTAGCCACCATTTGTTTACATTTTGAAACTCTTTAGTAGAATAGTGAATTAACTCAGTTTCTGCACCTTCAGTGTCTTTTTGCCGAGCGGGACCAAAAGTAAACTTTCAGTTTTGCGCATCAAAATATCTGCCTTCTTTCTTGCTCGCTGGCCGAACTGCTTGATTTTGCGTAGAAATTCTAATTTTAATTGTAAAAATTGTTTTTAACGGTATGTGGTATTTTATGCCTTTTTATAGTCTTCAATTTTTAACGAAAATGCTTTGAGGTTTTATGTACTTTTGCCTTGACGGGAATTGAGAACTGAATTAATTGAATGAGAAATATATTTTTAATGAAATTCGAGGACATAAGTTTTAATGAAATGCAGCAAAAAATGTGTATAATTTAATAGGCCTTACAAGGTAGTCATGGGGTGTTCACATCAGATATTTTAGTATAGAAAATAAAAGATTTCACGCATTAGGGAAAAAGTTGAGCTCTTTATTAGAAAATTGAAGACAAAATTATTCAAGTTCCCGTTTGACAACGGTAGCTAACAGAACTTTTATCCCAAAATTGTTTCATATAATGTTCTTTATTAATATCTTATATGTGCATACCATCTTTATGCATGAATCTTTAGTCTGTGATATTCTGAACCTAGAACTTCAAAAAAAAAAAAAAAAAAAAAAAAAAAATAGTCGAACTTTAAATTTATCGGAAAGGGATAATCAATACATGCAAAGAAAGCAATTCAGATTACGCGGAATATCGATGTGTTGGAACTGATAAGCTAGAATGTATTTTTCTAGCCCTTTAAAAGCTTGAATATTTCTTACGGTTTCCGAGAAATTTTATGTCGTTATAGTAAAAGGAAGAATTTTGTTAAGATTCTTTTTCTTTAATGCTCACATCGACTCCAACATGGTTTGTTCGAGTTTTCATGGTATATAAATTCAGAAAATTTAATCCGGGATGAAATGCGGCAAGTTAAAAGTGTGCAAAATGTATTTAGGTATTATAGCTTCAATAATTTTAGATTTTAGATTGCTGAAATTTGACATTACTGTACATATTTAAATAATGACATTTTAATTTTGGCAATCACTTTCTTGTCTTCAGAATTCTCGTATAATCGCTACATTAATTTAATTTTACTTTTGATCAAATTATAAGTTTTCATTTATAAAATTTGGGCTTTTACCCCCCCCCTGAAAAAAATATATAAGAGATTGATGACCCCGAAATAATAATTTTATCTACTCCGAAAAGGATTTCTTAAGGTTTTTTTTTTCTAAAGCTCACGCTGAGCTCGCGCCTTACCAGTCTGCTGTTGCAAACAATCCTGCTAGCTTTGTTATTAGGCTCGCTAGCGGCCGAGCGGTCGTTGAACACTGGTAGTTCGGTCTGAGGTTTGAATTCCGCGAACGAGCTGGTTACATGGGCGTTTTCGTGGTTTTTCACATATTAGCATAGGATTACAATTCCAGATGCAGTGTTAAGTGTTGTCATACGTTTTTCTACTTTTTTAAGCCTTTTGGCAGTTAATCATATCAATGTTAAGTTTTCTTAGTTAAAATGGCTTACAAAACCGTTTTGTTCTTTGTGTCTTTTTATTAGTAACGTTTTGCGTGTTAACGTTACTTAGCAAATATCACGCTCTTTGCATTTTCGTAGCATAAACTTCAATTCAGCAGCAGAATCACAAAATATTTAAGAACAGCATACCTTTAGGACTTCCGACAGACACACTGGAGATAAAAGTATTTTATTTCGTAGAGTGTTTCCGCTGCTCGCTTTCAAATCGTTCAGTTTGTTAATCAAAAATCCATAAAGTTTTACAAAATGTGAAATATAAAATTCGAAAATCAAAATTCAGGCTTCTAGGTGCCATGTTCGGGTGGAGTACAGCATTATTCAAAATTTCATGGCTCTAGGTACCATCATTTTTTCACAGTGCGAGAAACATACATGCAGATTCTTCATTATTTAATTTCTTTAAAAATAATACAAGGCGGTAATATATGGTGGCAACAATTTGAAAAGGGTTTCACCATTTATAGTGTATGACGCGAAATCTCGTTTAGAGACTAATAGAACATTCAGTCTAAAGCCCTTTTGGACTTAAAAATAAATAAGAATAGAAATAAACAAAAAAAAAGTCTGAAAGGTTTCAGATTTTAAATTACGTCCAAAGGGGCGTTTTTAACGTTTTGTGTGTTACCTTTTTTTATTAAATACCACTTTCTACGTAAAAATTCAGTTCAACAGCAATATTGCAAAATAATTTTAAAATGATCGTATCTTTGAATTTCCGATACAGAGTCTCGCACGTTACAGATAAAAGTTTTTTTTTTTTTTTTTTGTTGTTTTGTTGTGCATTGTTACCATTGCTCGCTTTGAAATCGTTTAGTTTTTCAATCAAAAATTCGTTGAATTGTTACAAAATATGAAATCGATAATAAAACAAATTTTTAATTCAAATTAGAACTTCCCCATGCCTATATTCTATGGAGGATTACGTTATTGAAATTTTGATGGCTCTAGGTACCCTTGTTTTATCACAGTGCGAGAAACATACATACATTCATGCGCATTCTTCATTATTTAATTTCTTTAAATATAATACAGGCCTCTAATATATGGTGGCAACAATTAGAAAAGTGATTCGCGGTTTATAGTTTTCAACGCAAAATGCGAAAATGAAGTTAATAGTCCTTCAGGGCATATTGCCCCTTTGGACTAAAAAAGGAAAATGGGGAAAGAAAACAATTGCTTTTCGAAATAATATCTTATAAGAGGTTCTTAAAGGCTTTATTTTGTAAGGAACACTTTAAAATTTTATACGTTTCTAAGGTATGGTTCCGTGAAAATTTTATATTCCTCCATTATAAAATATTTTTGAAAATTTTAGTCGCTTATAAGAAACATTTAATGAAAATTTAGTTCTCTTTTAAGAAAAATTATCATCTAAAAATTTGTTTTAAAAACGTGTGCTTGAAAATTCTATCTTATGCGAATTTTTTTAAAGTATTTTTCTCTTCTTTCTCTTGTAAAACCTCGGTTTTCGGTTTATAACAACAAACCACACAATGGTTTATTGCCTCAGAGGAGGAATACTTTTGTGGAGGACTTTCTAAGTTTTAAAAATGCTTAAAAATAGTCTGATGTTACTGAAAAATTTGTTCTAAATATTATTCTTGAACGTTTTATCTTCTTACAAGGAATTCTTTGTGACTGTGTTATTCTCTTTTAAGAAAAGTTTATTAAAAAATTTGTACTGAAAGTTATTCTTAGCAATTTTATCCTCTCACAAGAAACTGTTTGTGGAAGTTATATCCTTTAAGGAAATCTTCGGAAAAGTTTTATTCTCTTATTTGAAACTTTTCAAAAATTATTTGTTCTTTTATAAGAAACTCGGAAATTTTTATTCCCTTGTAAAAAAGTCTTCGGTAAAACTTATTCTCTTATACTTACTTCTTCA